TACGGGCCTCCTTGTGCGTTAACATCGGCACCCTTGTCGAGGAGTATCTGCACTGTCTTCTCGTGGCCACCCTGTGATGCCGCCTGTAGTGCGTTACCATACGGGCCTCCTTGTGCGTTGACATCGGCACCCTTGTCGAGTAGTGTCTTCACCGTCTCTTGAGAGCCATAATAGGATGATATCTGTAAGACAGACCCATATTTTCCACAAGATGTGTTAATAGCGTTTGATATGCTAAGTAACACTGCAAGCAAGTGTGAGTATTTCTGCTCCGCAACGAAGTATATCAAAGTCACATTAGGCTTGACCTTCCTAGACTTGTACCGCTCGAGGGCGTTCCACCAGTGTCTATGCGAGTCCACCCAGAGACCGTTCGCATCAATTTGACTTTTCAGAAAATCCTGCTGAGAAACATCGTTCTTCTGCGCTTGTTCAGCGTGCTCCAGAAGATGTGCAATCGCATAGTCGAGAAAGGGCAGTTTCTCACGCATAGCAGATCTGAAGATGTCCAGGGAGGCATTAGTCTTGTGACTGGCCTCACAGTAATGTTCGTATTCCTTCGGCATGTCATTCATCGAAATACAGCGGAGACATGCAATCCGCAGAACTTGATGGCTGATTCCCGCAACATTCGCGGCAAGACCTTGGGAAATTGATGCCAAGCCATTCTCTTTCAATAGGAATTCGCGAACGGTCTCATGTATGAATTGGACTGTCGCTGCTTGTGATGGGCCGACTTCGACAACTTCAACAAGACCGCGTGAATGGTTGAGGATCAATTTGGTGAGACGCTTGGGATCAGGGATAGAGATGTCCATAGGGGAGGGACTTTGCTGGTCATCTAGCGGCTCAGAGTATTGCATTGCAACAATCAATTCTGCCGGTTGAAGTGGACGCACGCTAAAAAGCATCCACTGGAAGAGAAGTACGCTTTTTCCGATCTCGTGGCCGCTTTTCTTCAAGATCTTTCGAAATAGGTCTTTGAGATCTGCTGGAATCGATCTAAGCTGAGTCTTCATGTCTGATAAAGGTACTCCGCGCTCGTCGAGTTTGTTCATTATCTTCACGACAAGGACGACCCAAAGAAAGATGCGTGCCGATTTTTCCAGTATCTCGGCTCGAAGCTCGTCCTTTTCATGACCATCATGGCATGTTAATTCTTTGGTGATGAAATAATCGATATCCTGGTCATGCTCAAGTTGATCTTCGACGACCAACGACAGTCCTGTAGTGATGTTGATGTGGGGATAGTGACGACTTGAAAGGCAGATGCGGAGTTTGCAAGAGCTGTCGGAGGCTGATGCGCGGTCGGACAGGTGTACCAAAAAGTGGATCATATCTCGAACATCATCCTCGTACTCCGCCTCGTCGAGCGCGTCAATCAGCAGGCACAGTCCGAATGACTCGTTCGACTCAACAGCATCCATCAGAAATTCTTGTAATTCTTCCACGGTCCATTCCTCCCCTAGTGGGCCTGGGTCTTTGAAAGCGAACTTTTCCGCAAATAAAGTGCCGAGCTTTGGATACGACGAGAGAAGGTGATACACGACTGTGCGGTACAGACCCAAGCTTGACTTCTCAAGAAAAGCAGAAGCTCGGGCGTTGAAGAAGTAAGGAACCACGGTTTGCCGGCCATGATCTTTGCTCTTTCGCTTACGAGCCCATTCGAAAAGAACCTTCATGAGCGTCGACTTACCGCAACCAGGTTTGCCCTTAATCCACAGGAAGCCACTGTGTTGAGCCGAGCAGCCACTCTCATACCATGTCTGGAAATGCGGATGGCGGAAGAGCCACTGGCAGGTTGACAACAGCGGTTTCCTGACGTTATCGACACGAAAATTGATTCGCTCGAACAGGAGGGATTTGAGGAGGGCATTGTACTTGTCTTCGCTAATTATCAAGGTGTCGTGTCGCGCATCCTGGTGTGACTGCTGAATGTGGCTACTCGCGCTTCCCATATGCGATATAGTAGTGCTGCCAGACGGAAAACTGTCTCCCGAGCCAAAGGTATTCGTATTGCACGAAGTCCTGGCCCGTTTTGCAGGCCTTGGCACGCTCGATCGGCGTGCTTGTGCTAACTGATCGAAGTCGGACGGGCGCTTAGGGAGGTTAGTAATACCATTGAGCGGTGCTGGGCTCTGGCACAATCTTGGTGACCTGACCTCGCCAGCAGCACCAAGGCGGGCAGCGACATTACTGCCAAACTTTTTGTTGATTTTTCCCCGTAGTCGGCAGAACGCGTTGTCGCCCTCGCCATAGTTAAGCGTCATAAAGACATTGAAAATCCCGAGTAGACAATATGCTCCGTCCTCTTTTTTTTTGGTCTCGCGCCTTTCCGTCCAACGTAATTTTTCGTCAATTGGAAATTGGGCGAGAGGTGTACCACACAAAGCAGCGAGAGGAATGGTTGTGACCTCGTGGATTGACTGTGCCAGCGTCTGCTTCGTACCCAAGAATTTCCCTTCCTCCGAGAAGAATTCGACGTTGTCAGGAGCCAGAAGCTCTTGCAGCGTCCAGCCTCGTGTAAACCATCGACTCCTCCGGAAGTTGGGTTCCCATGTGCTTTGCCCACTGTCAGTATTGCCATTCTCTTCGGCTCTTACACCAGAGAGATAGACATAGCACTTTTGCGCATCCCGATACCAGCCAAACATCATTGTAATGGCTTGGGACAGTTCATTTTGATTGTTTTTATTAATACAACATGTGTCCACCCAGAAGTGTTCCAGCTTGTCTTTTTTAGCTTGTTCGCCGCAGAACCCAATCTTCGCGCTGCCCGCCTTGTTCTTCCACGATTCGCTTTTGAGGTCGTCGAAAGCGACCTCATCTTTGTCGTCTCCCCAGGTATGGGAGAGAATGGCATAGGCAGGGACGTTGTCGTGAAGGTCGTCGGTCAGGCGGAGCGCGCCGTGGTCGTCGAAATACAACAGGCGCATCGTGCGGCATTCGCTCTTGCGCAGTCAATGAAGGCCCATCAACTAGCTTAGGGAGGTCCAGCAGTTGTCGTTCAAGGAGGCTCGGTTAATTGAAATAACCCTGGGGGAAGTGTCTGTCTCTCTCGAATCGAGCAGAAAGCTGGGATAGTGGTCAGTTTTCCCTTGAGGACACTCTCGCGTCGTTGTTCAATAAAGGGTGGGCGTGGTGACACCGGTCAGCAATACGTCAGGCAGATGGCCGCCCATGAATGCGTCTGTGGAAGGCATCGTGAAGGGTGTCCGATCAGGCTGAGGGTGTATATCCAGACATCGCCCCTGGTCTGGATGAGGCCGCAGGCACTTCGTCAGCGAGTCGCAGGCGAAATGACATGGACGCCGAGACCAACACCGCCTCAGGCATTGTGGCGCGGGGCGATAGATAACTCAGATCACTACGGTCGAGCAGTGGACCATTTTCCAAAACCGAGGAGAAGAACACAGTTCATGGTCTCAGAATGCTGTCTAGCAGGGCGCAATACAGTCCGACTCCGTTTCAGCGTTCCTACCAAGCGACCCTGGCTAGTTCGCGGATCGTAGCCGCGGGTCCACTTTCGCGCTGAGCGAGCTCTACGAGGTCGGCGCCGCAGCGCTGTATGCGCGAACAACGCAGCTCGACCGCATGGGACGTGTGCCGGGGGAGAGAGAAGAAGTATGGCCGTCTGCAATGGCGATTCAGCTATGCAAAATTGACCGTGTCGCTCCAGCCGAGAGGCCGGGATGACGGTGTGCCAAAAGCCGGCAGCAATTCTGGGCGCGTAATGGCCTCCAGCGGTGGTAATTTTGGATGGAATTCAGGTCAACGGGTAACTGATGTCTCTACGATCAGACCAACTCCTTTCATGAGCGAGATTTGCGGTGTTGATAGAAGGAGTGGTATGCAAAGTCAAAACGGGTCCGCACCCAGGGCATTCCATTGTGTAGGGATAGACGTTATACAGAATAAGAGTTGTATTTTGTTCTGGGATTATGGTTTCGCTACAGTGTCCAGGATGGCATACAAGTAAAGTCACAATCCCAGTATCTAGATTGCGGGAAAGAAATTAGTTACGGTCAGACTACCGTCAATTTCGAATCGCGGGTTTTCGAAGGACCCTGCTCGCTTGATTTAGGCTTAATTTAGTTGCAGTGGGGCAGTGGTTCTTGAAGTAAATCGCTGTCAGACAACTAATTTTGTCCAGAGGGCTTCTTGGCACGTTGGGATGCACGTTACTCCGTCCACACTTGATTTGCATACCACTCACCCACGTGACATTGACTTAGATACCAAAGTCGGCAGCTCGTAAGGCTGACTCGATGGTAGGCCACCCAACGGTAATCAGTGGTAGGCCGCTCCATGGTAGGCCACTCTATGGTTCTTTTTAGACCACTCCTCCTTCCAGGTTGGATTGACTTCCTCCTCCTCCTCCTCCTCCTCCTTCTGCACACTCCGAGACGGCGAATCTTCCATACACGTTGCATCGTTGCTACTCGATTTCGAAAAGCACGGGGTTTGCTTCGACAGTCAGGGGTTTATCTCTTGACGATTCGGTGAGGCTAAAGAACGGCGCTGTTGAGCGGCCCAAGAGGCATCTTTATTCATTCTTTGCTCTCCTATTACCTGTCAGCTACGGCTGCCCACGTCTTGAGGTCGACATACCTACCCGCTCGCGGGGAGGCGGCTACTCCTCGCGCGCCTCCTGATTGATAATCATGGAGGTACTATTTATTTGGAAGTGTTGCCACTGTGCCCAGGGAATCTTGAGGCCGACTTCATCGATCCTGCCAAGTTATCTTTTTCGGATGAAGCCCATCAAGCCTACCACCTTCACGGCAGCTGGAGTCTACCAGAGCTGGAGGACGCTCAATTTTCCCAATTAATCAATATCTCTTGGCCGACTTGCCACCCAGAAGCCGAGCGACAAGAACCTCTCGGACTTCTCAGTTCTGTCAATGGTTCCCTTTGGGGGCTCGAGGGCTCCTCAGAAGCTCATCCCGATATGTGCTATGGGTGGCCCGAGGAGCCATCCCTTCAAAATGGTAATAACATCACGTCCGCCCAAGTACCTACAACTTCGAGCAGCCAGTCTGACGACGAGGTTGGACTCTCGAGTTCGAGCGGGTCACCACATTTCCCCGAGACCAACACCCACTATTGCCGCAAATGCAATCCACCCAGAGCTTTCCAAAAGAAGCATCAGCTCACCACGCACCAAAGAAGGCACAACCCCCGCTTTGTTTGCGAGCAGCCTGAATGCAACAGGAGGTTCCAGTATCGGAAAGATCTCACAAGACATCTGAAGACTGTCCATGCCAAGCACGACCAGCATATTGAACGCTTCCCGTGTCCACACCCCAACTGCGAATGGAGCCTGAACGGAAAGCACAGAGGCTTTGGGCGTCCTGACACCCTGCGTCGACACCTCAAAACGGTTCATCGAGTAGAGAGTTCATCACCAGCCGACCATGCATCATCACAATGATTGAAATCAATTCAAGGCTGGGATCCACTGATTCGAGGCTAGCCCTGGCACCATTCTATCACTGTGGTTCCTCTGAGTGTAGTACCTGGCACACGTTGGCACGAGAGGCGTGTTTGGTGCAACGTGAGGTGCCAAAGAGTAGTCGGTAGGGGGTGCGGTCCATATGCGTCAACGGCGCTGACCCTCTCCTATCCATATCAATCATTCATCCTCTCTTCCTCACAGTCACCATCCCAAGACGATACGAGAAAATGATCCTATTCGTTCTCGCTCGAATGCTGACATTTGATGCCGCTAATTCAACCTGCTATGCTGGCTATTTGGGCGATCTGTTGTGGACGAGCTGTTGGGCATATACTAGTTGGGGAGCTTTTGGATAGATCCTGTGTCTACTTGGGTACATTGAATTTGTTGTATTCTAAACCATGAGCAAGGCGGCTACGGAGACCGTCTGTCCCTTCCCTCCCCAAAAAGCCGTGACAACTACAAAGTCTTCTTCATTCTCCGCCCTTTGTTCGGGCTTATGGCGCATTCCCTAGTCTTGAGCTGCTGCCCCTCGTTATGCTCGTTCCTTCGGCAGTGCCTAGGTCGTTTGGATGATTTCACATGCCTCCCAGCCAGGCATTTTTGACCGTCACCGCGCCGTCACAGGCTATTTGAAATTAGATCAACCGCATAGATTATACCATTTCAATCACAACGCATTTCGCAATGCATAATGATCATTGTAGTAACGTTTGAAGTGGCCTACAAAAGCGGCCTACAGGGCGGCCTACAGGGCGGCCTACAGAGTGGTCGACGGGGTGGGCGACAGGGTGGGTGACAGAGCGGCCTAGGAAGAGGCCTACCATTTCGCAGACCAATGTATGCACCTCTTGCAGGGGGCAATTCTCGAGCCATGGTAGGCCATCAAGCCACAGAGAAAGAAAGACACATCGCTAGAGGTGATGATGAGCCTTCCAGCAAGGCGAAGACAGCCACTGAACCTTTTTGAGGCAATAAACTGGTGCAAATCCAGATTTTGCGCCGACTCAGTTCCTTGGAAAAGCTGAATGATATTGAGACAAAGCACGCATGCATGGTTAATGGGGGACCGTTGCCTGGCATCTTTTGCCTTCGCCGTTGTGGTCCATCGTCGGCCAATCCATTGCCCCTGAGAGCTGTGCCCAATGAAATGAGTTAGTACTGCGCCCAAGAGGTACCTTCTTGGAGCGAGATAACGGGTGACGGACAACGGAGGGCGCGCCCACCAAGAAAAGCTGGCCACCCAACCTGTGTTGAGACGCAATTTGGTTTGGTCCAGGTAGGCGTGGTTCACCTCAACCTGATTCAGTTTCTTTTGTGCAGCTTGGTTAGACGCAACCTGCTTGGAGGCTCCCACTTTCAAGCATGCAGACTCCGTCTGATTGGTTAGCTGTATGGTGATATGGTGAGAGCCAATGGTTGGAATGCGGCTCTTGACAGAAATCCCCTACGTGGAGATCCCGCCGTGGCGCACAGGAAGAAGGATGTATAAGAGGCTCGTAATGTTGCCGTCAGCTGGAATCGCTTCGACCGCTTTATTCATCTCTTCCTCGAGTAAAACAGCCGTCGCCGACCTCGACTCCCAATGCCTGTACTAAACAACGCCGAACAAAGTAGGCACTTCTTCGAGTTGCCTGCTAGGGACTTGAGATAGTTACTAATGTGACTGCAGAATCCCGTCATGGGACCTCGACGAGGTCGAATGTAACCTCAATCCGCTTCCCCGAAGCTTTAACGGTGCCAAAGACTTCGCAGACCTTACATGCAGCGAATGGCATTCAGCCAAAACTCGCAAAGGCTGACCTCAATGCGAACAACCAACAAGACGAGACCACTCGGTACCAGCGAACCCGAGGCTGGGTTCACGGCAACAATGGCTACTCCCACGTTGGAGACCAGGAGCGGGAGAGAAGAGACTGGATCGATAAACAAATCCGTTCTGCGGACACGCTGTTGGGAGACCATTCCAGGTTCAAGACCACAGACGGGAATTTGAACAGTGACAATGCTGTTCAGAGCGAGACAAAATGCCAGAGCTTGCAGTTTGTGGGGAGCTGGACGGGTGAGAAGTACAAGGAATATGGAAAGAAAACAGCCGGACTTGGAGAAGTGCAGGCACACTCCTTCTCTTCCACTATTTCGAATTGATGTTGTCAAACGTTCTCTCGGGGCGACACTGATTTATGATGCTCCTATGATGCTGTTAGGTAGACAATCTCAGAGATGATAACCGCTCTTAAACGACCAGACTCGTGTGTATAGGGTAGAGAAGGTGAGAAATCGACCGTTGCCAGAAAACTTTACCTATCAGAATGTGAAGCGAAAGTCGATCGAGAGAGCTACACAACCCCTTCAACGAGGGCAACATGCCCATTCAACTTCGCTGTGTGGGTTGCTTCCCCTTATCGCAGTAGAGGCTTTACGGCTTCTTCTGGCACTTTTTCTGGTCGCCTCATCTTGACCTTGAGAGGTTGTCTGAATGGCGGCAGAGTCACGCTTGCAGTAGATGAGCCGCATGTCATCAAGTATATATCTTGGGGAACAATTCAACGCTAATTCTTTATTGGCCTAGTGTTGCATGTCAGGTGACACGGCGAAATTGCAATGTCGCGCCGTATCGCGCTATGTCACGCCGCGTCGGCCCTGCTCCTCTTCATCTTTCAGCCACCTCCATAGACCAGGTAGTCAGGCCTTGCCTTGGATGCTTGAAGTCTTATTCATGTCGCGGAAACGTCTCCAATGCCTCCCAAGCTGACATTGGCACGGAACTACCCAGCCTCTACCCCACCAAACCCCTGACATTGTCTATCTCAGCAGCAGCTTATCCTCAAACACATTATGTCCTAGTTCAAGACTATCTAGGAGTGAACTTCATCTTGAGCGCTGGCAAGGTGAGCGTGAATGTGTCCAGAACCTCAGTATCAAACTTGACGCCATCTTCCCCGGCGGCAAAAGCAA